AGGGGCAAAAGAATTATGATCGGGTAATGTTGTAGTTCGCACAATGACATCCCTCTAACCTTGGCCCGATTAGATTCTTTTGGAAAGCTGCATGGTTTGCAGTAACACATAAGAATATGTCTTCGAAGTGCACGATGGTGGAAATTTTCCTTGTTCTTTTGAAAATTAGGAAATTAAATACATTGTATTATAAATACGAACATAAAATGTGGCATCTAAGCTAATTATGAACTGTGCTCAGTATCTGAATAAACAACGTTTGTCCTTCAATTTCATGAGAGGAACGACTTCTACCAATGACTATTTAACAAGCTACCAATGACTATTTAACAAGCAGAACAATGGTAAGTTTGTTTACCACTTTAAAGTATTTAAGAACGACTTTAATGACCAAACAGGTGTCGCTCCTTTAATTTAATATGTATATTCATATTGATTAAAATAGCGGTGTTAGTACTGATCATTTCATTGTAAGTCCCTCAAACAAAATGTGTGCTTTACGTACATTTTTACCACCACGTGCCTATTTCCGTTGATACAGCTGCTACGGTAGACAGCTACTCGGCGATCGGAAAACTGTGCTTATTTCACCGACATTGTTCTGTATTGGGGGCTTTCCTGTATTGCTTGTATGGGTCAGTGGCTCGGTAGCGTTCAGATGTGACCCATATTGGGTTAAAAAAAATTAATAGATAAGAAAAGAGATGATCATTGTTTTTATGTTATTATCTTATATTAACATGATCAATAAATTATCAATACCTTGCATAAATGTAAAATAGTTTCTATTATACTTTTTTTGTTCTCCCTGTATACTGAAAATCATAAAAAACATAAAGAAATTTCCCTTCGAAGCTTATAAAACACATAAAAATATGTAAAACATGCTAGTCCCTTCTAATAAGTCAGGTTTTGTGAAATAAATGTCCCAACTGACAAACAAACGGTTAACAAACAAAGACAGCATTTTCTTGTTTAAATAAACTTTATAGTTTCCTGTGAACGTTCTTGGTGTGTTACTGTACCCAACATTCGACCTTCATTTATAATACATGTACATTGTATATATTTATAGAAACAGCTATTGGGTATCTGCAATTCCATAAATATATATATACTCAATGGTTGAACACAAGGAAAAAAATACCAGAGGATCATTTTCACCACAAACGTAACTATAATCACATTCATGATTTTGTTCCCTTTTCTATAGAAAAAATAATCGAAACAGGACACAACTGAAAACCAAACAATTCGTATGAGGCGCACATTTAATGTAATAAAAATATCTATGTTTAGCAATTTGTGTCTGCTCTTAGTCAAAAATTAAAACTTTTACATCATTGTAACATAAGATTGCACTATAAACTAATCAATGTGGGCTTCAGCTTCTGGCAGTTTTGTTAAATAATTTAGCAACATTTATTCTGTTACAGTAATTGTAGATCAGGGAACACAGACAGTCTGCACTTCACAATTAAACTACACAACAATTATTATCTTAATTACTGTCAGCTTTATTTCATTCAGAGTTATCCTTTACAATGAAAAGGATTGTAATTTTGATTCTTGCAGATGGACATTATGATTTCCGTTGAAAAAAGGGTTAATGTATGTTAAACAAGTTCAATTAAGGTAGTATATGGTGGCATATATCTGCCCCCTACATGCAAGATAAATTATGTTAACATGCAACATAATTATGTAGACATGCGACTTATTTATGTCAACATGCAAAATAATTATGTAGACATGCGACTTATTTATGTCAACATGCAAAATAATAATGCTGACATGCAAGTTACCAATATCTTTAGAAAATTTAATTTTAATGTTGGTAAACTTACTTACTAACGCCATTATATGACATCATGCACGCAAGATGCTACAGGACTATGTTGACATACAACTTATTTATGTCAACGTGCAAGAAAATTATGTAATCATGGAACTTATTTATGTCGACATACAAAATAATTATGTTAACATGCTAGATAATCATGTCAACATGCAAGATATGTATGTCGACATGCAACTTATTATCTTGCATGTTGACAGTAATATCTTGCATCTTAAAATATAACTCGCATGTTGACATATTTAAGTCGCATATTGACATAAATAAGTTGCATGTTGACATAAATTAGGTGCATGTTGACATAAATAAGATGTATGATAACATAATTATCTTGCATGTTGACATAAATAAGTAGCATGTCTACATAATTATGTTGCATGTTAACATAAAAAAGTCGCATGTCAACATAAGTCTGTTGTATCTTGCTTTTAATATGATGTCCAATACTGGCGTTAGTAAGTAAGTTTACCAGCATTAAAATTAGATTCTCTAAAATGATTGGTAACTTGCATGTCAGCATAATTATTTTGCATGTAGACATAATTGTTTTGCATGTTGACACACTTTTCTCGCATGGTAGCATAATTTATCTTGCATGTAGGGGACAGAAATATGCAACCATAGGTGGACAGCGATGGTCTGTCCAGGATTGTTTCGAATTCATATATAGGTAGAGGAGGTCATCAAAAACCACTTTAACTTAATTTCTCCTTTTTGCATGCGATGCGATCTTACGTTTCAAACTACAAGAAGAAAAATTATTTGTGTGCCAAGTATGTTTCTGTTGGTATAAACACAGAATTTAGAATCATGTTGTTTCATGGATGGTTTGCATGTAATTGTAGTATTAAAAAAAATGCTATATTCATTATTGTAAATTATGGCAGAAACTATTATCTTTTAAAATTAACTATTTTTACTATTATCTCAGCACTTTAAACTTTCTTTATGAAAAAAAAAAATGTCCAAACTTATATTGCTCATTTCTATTCTGCAAGAAAAATGATTTTCCTAACTGACATTCCTGCTAAAACAGAATTGAATACCTTGAATCACGAACGAGGACAGACAAGGCAAAACAGAGGGAAAACTCGGGCGGTTGAATTAACACTAGAGTGTACTAACAACATCAAGGCGCTCCTACCTAAGTACTCATCAAGATACAGATCTTATAATTCTGGCAAAAACTTTAAAGAGTCTTTCTTGCTAGACAATATGATATAATTTCTCTGTTTTTCAGAGATTTTGTAACTCGTTTTATATGCGTCTCTCATAGTAAGATTGATATTTTTGTAACAAGATTTTTGGAAAAGAATTTAATGAAGATCCATTTGAGCTCTGAAGGGGGGTTGCTATCATGTCACCTGATAAGAGTGAAATCTCCCTCACCAGGAAAGGTCACAGAGACATAGGCAGTCGTGTAGTTATTGAAAGTTCAAGAACATCACAAACTCAGTCCTATCCTTCTACCTGAAAACCGCAACAGCACAAACCCAGTCCTATCCTTGTTTCTGAACTGATAAATAAAAATATCACAAACTCAGCCCTATCCTTGTACATGAACCCTGAACCGCGAGAATATCAATTTCATTCTTTTTTTGAAGATAGTTCATTATAATATATGTAATTTATATAGCATTTCACACGTAGTTTCAATAATTTCCAGGTAAATCAAGTTTTTTACTATATGTTTCCATGTGAAATGCTATAGCAACATATAAGTCATGATATTATATAGAAAATTTGAGAAGATACTAACTTCAAATCTGTATCTATGTCACTTTAAACAGGTTCAGTCCAAAGACTATTTCTACCTACGTAGCTACTTTTAGCTACTAGGGTATTTAAACCTACTCCTACTCTAGCTATTTTTACCTACTTTTTGCTTTATTTGCATTTTGTGGCCAAACGCAGGAACGGCGCAATACGGTGAGCACAAAATGTCTAAATATAGTCACACTGACGAAGAATACGATAAAAATTTTGGCAAAAAATGATTACTTTCTGACATAACAATTTTGCATTAAAAAACTACATCCATTTTCATTTTTGGTAGCTAAGGATGAAATGAAGACTAAAATGACTAACAAATCTGTATCAATTTTAAAATAATCTTCAAGAATTCTTAATATATGAATTGTTTTGGGGTTATTCTTAATGCATTTCCTCTCCAATATCCACCCTCAAAAAAGTTTTCAAATTAACACCCCGAATTTTTCCATGCAAGTGCACAATACGATGAACAATAAGTTTGACCTGTTCTACAGATGCACCAAAATTATTATTTAATCTTATTTTCAAAGGCAGGTAAAAGTAGGTTGAAGTAGCTACTTCAAGTAGCTTTAAATACCCTGGTAGCTGCTAATAGGTAGAAATAGTCTTTGGACTGGACCTGTTAAACAACATACCCACAAAAAAAAAAAAAAAAAAAAAAAAAAAAAATTAAACATGACTGTTGTGAACAGAAAGATATATTTAAACATATTTTTCTGAAACTTCCTTTTCTACGTCCAATTCTTGTGAGATTTCTTTGTAAAAAAGTATTCGGCAGTGGTTATTTACATCACGTTTAGTAAGGCACGTTTCTCTTGGTGAAAAAATTGCTAAACTTAGCAAAAATTCCCCAAGGGCATACATTTCCATGTTTACATTATATCCAACTTACCCCAAACCTTATGCCTGAATTCTTAAGTGAAATAATTTAATGCTTGTAGAAATTCCAATTTTAAAATATCCTCTCTTCCCTCCTCTTTGTGTGCTTACAAGAATCTTTAATTAAATAAACTTTGGACAATCTGATCCTTTGATCGTGGTATGTGTGAGCGGATCAAAGGCTCTCATTATAAATAAATTGACTATTTGAATGATATGTATGCAAGAGCATCTTTGAATAAAAGCTATGTTACTGGTATTTCTAGTTCTTTGAACATTTACATGTAGCATACATATACACTTTTTTTTTTAATTTGCTTATAAAATTGAATATATTTACTGTATGCTAAAAATTCTCAGGGAAATGACTAAGGCAGAAACACTTCCTCCACTGGCAAAAGCAATAAAAAAATATACTACTTTCATTTCATTTAATAAGGGTGTTGTGGGCTGTTCAAAGATTAACATGATTTCATCAATCAAAGATATATGACATTCAATGATTAACTTTATTAACATTTCACATATTTAACCTCTCCTTTAACATCATTTATCTCTGCATTTACCCAGACATCATATTCATCACTACAATCTATCCCATCCTCAATACTATAAATATTGACATTCACAATAAAAACACTGTAAGAATTTAACTTCCTACTTTGAACACCTATCATATATTGCACATTAGCTCCATTTATATAGTCAAGGTTCCAAGGATGTTCCCAATGTAAGACAAGTTTATCGTTAATACAAGAACAGGATAGATGTCTGACAACTGAAGGTTCATTTTCATTTGGAGGAGACAACTGTTGCTGACTCTCAGATAAAGCTTTCTGAGTTATTCTTACTACTTCTTCTACGTTTACAGCTGTGTCCTGATTGATGTGAAATAACCAAGAGGGATCACTACAGCAGCCATGCACTGGAACCTCCTCCTGATCCATAATCTCCCTCTGTACCTCCTCAGATAAATGTCTGATCCCCCCTTCCTCAGGAGGATAATCTGGATGGGAGAAAGATTTTGATTTATCCATATTTCTCCATGTGTGGTAAATTATTGACATTCCAGGAATGCTTGCCAATGTGCGATAAGGTGTATAATTATCTGGATTGACAGCATAAGGGAATAGTTCTATTAGAATTGATCCTGGTCTTAGAAACAATCCTAAAATTAATAAAGCTCCATGCATTCCAATAATCCCTCTTGATGTCTGCACTATATGTATTACCTCACTGATGTCATCATCACTGATTGTCAGTATTTTCATCTTGGTATTTATCTTCAAATTGGTTATTAATTCTTCCTCGTTTAATAATTTACGAGTCTCCGTTCTAGAAATCAGCACAAGATAATCTCCTATATATTGATTATCAGGCATAAAGTTTAATTTTTTGATAATGAAAGAACCTGCACTGCGTAAATAGAAAGAAGTGAGTCTATCATTGACCACAGGGCCCTGCACATTTCCATTGTAGCCATACTGATACCATTTTGACAAAGAGGACACTCCAATGAAAGCATTTTCAAAACAAATAAGTTCTTGCTCACTTGCCATAGGTTTATATCTAACATCAGATAAAAGCTTGTAAAGCAGTTCATATAGTCCTGGACTAAAATCATCCATAAACAAAACTTTCAAGTTTCCTTGACCTAAGAACTGAAGTGTATGATACAATGGCAAAACATCATCATGAATCACATGCATTATATTGTCAGGTTTAAATCTTTTGAATAACATAGTAAAGCCATCCAGCCAGCGAATTTTGAGTTTGGAAAAGTTCTGATTAATATATGTTGGCACGAAAGAAAACATGTCTAATTCTGAGACAGATGAAAGTGACAGAGAGGGTAATGTTGACTTTATTTCCATCAGACTGGAGGAATTAGTTATATACACAAACTGATCCTCCACAGGGTAGTAACACAGTGACTGAAAATGACAAATCCTTGACTGCTGATCAAAGCACCAGTGTGTGGTATAAAGTGTCTCATTTTCATCACAATATTTTGTATCTATACTTTGTATTGATTCAAAATCCTTAGGAGAATATTTTGAGTAAAGAAAGATTGATATGACACAGACTAGAAGATTGATGACAACTACAATTCCAATGTGCATTTTATTGTCTAGTCATTTCATCTTGTGGACTGAATCTGAAAGAGAAAAAATATTAAATTGTGCTTTTCATTTTTGATGCATATACAGTCTATCCAACTTTTGTATGAATGAAACCTTTCATTGTGTACAATTTGAGTTGTTAGTGTCTTTAGGAAATATGATTTTTAATAACAAGGTGCCAAAGGCCACATCGCTCACCTAAGCACTTTGGCAAGGGAATTGAGAAGTTTAAATATATGATTGGTCCCATCCTACTACTGGGGGAGGGGGGATGATTTGAACAAACTTATTTCTACACTAACTGAGGATGCTTTCATATTTCTCTAATCATGGCTAAAGGAGACTTTTAAAGATTTTTATCTGTATATTTCTATGTAAACATTCCATCTTCTATTGTAGCCCCACCCTACCCCTGAGGGACATGATTTGAACAAACTTGAATCTACACTACCTAAAGATTCTACTAATCATGGCTCCTTTGCTGTTCTTGAGAAGATGATTTTTAAAGATATTTCTATATATTCCTGTGTATAACATTTATCCCTTGTTGCTATACAATTCCATGTAAAATTTTAATCCCCATTATGACCCCATCCTATCCCTGGAGGTCATGATTTGAACATACTTGAATCTAGACTACCTCAAGATGCTTCCATAAAGATATGACTTATCATGGCTGTGCTGATCTTGAGAAATACCTTTCAAATATGTTTCTAAAATGTTGATTGCCAATTGTGGCACACCCTAACCTTGGGGTCATGATTTGAATCTTCACTATGTCAGAAAGCTTTCACATAAGTTTCATATTTTCTGGCCCAGTACTTCTTGAGAAGATTTTAAATGATCCCACCCAGTTTTTACTAATTTCTTAGTTTCTCCCCTTGAAAGAGGGCATTGCCCAATATTTGAACAAATCTGAACACCTTTTACCTAAGGACATTATGTGCCAAGTTTGGTTGAAATTGGCCCTGTTGTTCAAAAGAAGATGAAATTGAAAAAAAAATTAACAACCATGACAATAGACAATGGACAAATTTTGATCAGAAAAAGCTCACTTCAGCCTTCAGCTGTCTCGATACCAGGTGATATCTGGCCACTGGTGATTGAACCTGCCTGATTGCTTCATTCCTCCCCTCCCTAAGGGTCTTCCCTGCTGAAGACAATAATCCAGGCACTTTCCTAGCAGGTATTTCACCTGCCACTTTCAGGGCACGCTGCACACAAATGTAAAAGAAGAGGAGAAAAATGTGATGAATTAGACCAGGACTCCAACCTGGAGCCCCTGAATCACTAGCCTGGTGCTCTACCGACTATCTGGCCTTCTGGGATTGAAACTGCCTGACTGTCACACTTTTATTCATTTACTGAGAATGGGGCCTACATTTTTGTATCCTACCTTTTCCCAAGAAAACAGTTTTATAATTGAAGATTTCTTAATTCTTCATAAAACTTAATGTTTATTTGACCTCAATGTCAAAAATTTTAATAAACTCTGCATGAAGGTCACAGCTATGACAGCTTGCAATTTTTTCCTTCACATATTGTACTTCATTTAATTGTTGTTAAGAGGAATATGGTATAATAACATGATAATATTCCCATTTATTATTGTGGTCTCCTGCCTTCTTCCAGAGACTTACGCGGCTAGGATAAGGCTGTCCGAAGAAGGTCACAGTGTACCAGCCGCAGTAACATCTCTGAACTACCTAGATATGACGTCATAATGGCATATGACGTCAAGTCACTGCAAATTTGAGCAGACATGACAGGGAAAGTGTCATAACTTTTACATTCCTTTCACATCACATGTAGAATTTTTTTACGTTGATGCTTAATTCATGTGTCTGGATTGCTGTTTTAAGGCTGTTGTGATGGTGAATACTTGCAGTATAATATCGTTATTCCTTTTTCTTGTCTAACATGTATGTATTCAAACAATTACAAACAAATTGTGAAATGCTCCCCCTTACGCATCTGTAGACAGAGTGAGAATTTATAAATCGTGTATATATTAGACTGGCACAAGTGAATAATAAGGATTAATTGAAGATATTCTGTGTGAATCTATTAGAGAAATATGTCCTGTAACTGAATTTTGCTGGGGGATTGTATGTAATTTATCCCATTTTGTATAAATTGCGATGAAGAGTGTAAAATGACCCCTTGTATGTGGGTAAGTTGAAATTTCTCGTGAAATATTTTCTTAAGAAATAAAATTCAGACTTGCCCCCAGCACTTTATATATACCCAAGAATACGTTTAATTAATTTATGTAACAAGCCGTTCACAATAATTTTGTTTTTCACTTGTGCCGAGGCGATTTTTGTGCATCATTTAAGAAAATGTATAAGTGTCCGCCACGTGATCAACACAGTCATGTGACATCACAGAAATAATTTTTTAAAATACCTTATTCAACTCTCTTTACAACTTAACTGTGTAGGTTTACATAGATTACAAATTGAAATCAAAACATAGCTTAAATTAAAATAGGATATGTCTAATGTATATAAAGCCTTCGGACAGCCTTAACATAGCTGCGTAAATGATATTATCAGGTCTGGTACAATCACTAGATTCTGCTACATAGCTTTAATTACCTACCTGAAATAGCTTTATTTAGCTACTAAATCAAACTTATTTCTTAAATTAGCATTTTTCTCAGGATGTGCAGAAAATTGCACATTGATGCAGTGATAATTTTCAACTTTGATCTCATCTAAAAAAAACAGTTCATGAAAAAATCACTCTTGAATATGTGTCTTTTTCTGCGCAATTGCAATCAAAGTTCTAAAAGTTTTGGGCTATATACGATAGTTAATTTGTGACCAATCAGTTACTTCTTGACTGAAATCTTGAATGAAATAACAAAGAAGAGCAGTTTTGGTTAACATGATAATTGATTGGTAATTATTCAGTACAATGTGAAGTAATCATACTAATATCAACGCCTCGCCGCTCACAAGGTGGTAAAAAGGGTCACCATGGACAGTTACTAAAACAATAGAAATACATCTTTTGCTTAAAAGTGTTCAAATGTAACACTGTTTAAACTATCTCTGCTTTGAATTGCTTTTTAAATAATCCCTAGTAGACATTTACATGCGATTTTTGTCTTTTTTTTTTTAAATAGATAGCTAAATAAAGCTACGATAGGCAATTCTAGCTTCGTAGCTAAAAGTACTGATTGTACTGGATATGATTATTTATTTCTCTGCTTCTTCCCAGAAGTCAAAATAATCTGGAACTGCAACGTCGGAACCATCGTTCCGACGATGCTTAAACAATGAAAAAAATTAATGTTATTAATGATAAACAACGACGACGTAAATGACTGACACCCCCTCCCGCTCACACACACACTTTTAACAAATTAAAAATGAAATTCCAGACCTGTAGTACAAGTATACATATCATAGTCCCAATAAAATGAACACGTTGATTCGCTTACCTTTTTTTTTTTCAAACAACCATCTCAAGTAGGAAACATTGTCAAGCAGACTAATTTGAAAGCTATCATGAAAGGGAAAGTATATTTCCGGAAAACTTGCCGTATAAACGAGGAGTGCGTCCCCCACTTTTTGTTGATGTAAGGTCGAGCGCTGGGAAATTCCAGGATTTGGACTGTAAACTATTATAACTTTTTTTTTGCTTGTCAGATTTTTTGGAAGTTGCCTCCCCTCCCCTACTTTTAAACCGTTGCTACGGGCCTGCCCCCCACCCCCAAACCCCTTCAAAATAGCCTATCATTTTGAGACAAAATAAAATTATTCCTTATAAAATTGTTTTATAATGAAGATTTTGAATGGATTCTTTATAGACAAAACTGGATCAAATTTAAAACGAGTTGCAGGATAGGGAGCTCTTATATCAATTCAATAGCATTGTTTATCAAGCTAGCAAGTCCAAATATCTAATCATCAGTAATATAGTGGCAAATCTGTTTCCAAATTTTGCAATTTTATATTTGTCATTTTTTTTTTAGAGTCATTTATCATTCTCAATTACCAAAATGAGAAAAAAAAAAAATTATGAGGTCAGAAACTCTGATATAAAAGTGAAAAATACAATTTTGTAACTACCGAAAGATACGTTTTTCTTTGACAGAGTTCAAGGCGCTTATATTGAATAATCGGTATATTATAAAGTAAGGAGCATTTAGGACAACATTTAAAGAAGCTTGCACACTGATTTGAGGATTATTATCATGAAAATTTTCGTTTGAATTTCATAAATTATATTGTAGGAGCGTCTCAGACCGAAAACATTATGAAAACCTATTTAGAAACCTCTTTTATGATTATTTTGAAAAATATTAAAAACTGTCGGGCGTGTTTGATCTCACAACGTCAGGGTTCTTGAGTCTACTCATGGCGTCGGACCTCTGACAAACTTCATTCGATGTTCTCTTCTCTTCTTGAGAAGCATCAATCCGATCGAGGCTTTTATAAGTTGATATAAAACGTAAACAAAAAAAGTAACTATATGCAGTTGTCACCTCAATGCACTTGTTGCAGGTTGTTTGTTACCAAAAGGTTTAATGTAATTGGTCAAAAGATTATTAAAAAAAAAAAAAAACAATCAAGATTCGTAATTTCTCCGAAGGACGTCACTGCACTCAGCCTGTAGAATATCGAATGAAGTTTGTCAAGGGTTCAACGGCCACGAATGAACTCAAGACCCCTGACGTAGTGAGGATGTTGATTGTCATACATCATTGCATTGCACTTTCATGAAGTTAATTTTTTCTTAATATTCAACGAAAGTGGGAAATCTAGTTAAAATAATAAGATATAATAAAACAATAATCAAGAAAAGTTTAAAAAAAAAACCAAGAAAGCAAAATCAACTTACAAGTGGTCAACAATATCAGCAAATCGAACAATACACCCGATATAAAATGTAAGCAATGAGCTTTTGGAAACATTTACGTACATTTGTATGGAGTAAGGTTATTGAGAAAACCGTTGTCATGGCATATTTTAAAGAATAGCCATGTAAGTTCAAATCATTAAACCGAAACTCTCTCAAGTAAAATTAGAAATTAAAAAAAATGTACACAAATTTAGCAGTAATTGCACAAGAGTGTCCATGGCCTTTAATTTGCTATACAAGTTTTTATCTTTTTCTACTAAAAGACACACATTTTATCGAGTAATCTTTGCTAGAAATACACCTTTCTGTATTACATGTATTTCATACGAAACAAAATGCATTATTTTGCAGTAGACTTGAAAGGAAAATATTCTGAACCCTGTAACATAAAGAATTATGAAGATGTGGATGTAAGTTGAAGGATATATAAGGGATTTTGATCGCATCCACTTCTATAACTCAAAATACAACTGCGTTCTCCCCAACATATATTATGTGAAATGGGAAATAATCTATCTCTCTATGACTTCCTTGTTTAACGGAAACAAACAGTTCTAATCTGGATTCATCGCAAGGGATTAAAGAAGAATAATGTGCAAGGAGGACAACTGGTATAGTTTTTGCATGATCTCATGTTTTGAAGACAAAATTTTTATGTCAAACTAAGATTTTTTCGTTACACAACAGGCCAGTTGAGTGTGATGCCAATTTCAGGATCGGGAAGACGAAATGTGAACGTAAGTTATTATGATAACTAGTAAATAGTTAACACAATATAAAAATTACATTGTAATCCATGGAATATAATAATTATCTATCTATTAGTAACTTAAATGTATTAATGTATAGTAATAGTGAGTTCTGCATGTATTATTTCGGAATTGTTACCTTTGCTGACGACTTTTTAGGTATATAATACACATTAAGGTAAATTTCAGTGTATGTATCTTTCTTCCCCTTCGGACTGAAGTATCTCACTAGCTTCATTGGGTTAAAGGAGGTCCGTTACCCAATGAAGCGTTATATCGGGAAGGTAATAGTAAGGCCATTGCCCAACCCTCTCGATGTAATTGAGGGAATCATTTATTACACTGAATATATATGGAGCATTCCATATGTATGGGGTCAAATGCTGGTTCGAGTCTCAAAGGGTGATACTTATATATCCACTAGATCACACCACTTAAAACCTTGATTTAATGCCCACCGTCTCTAAAAAGATTCTGCCAGCAAGTCACCTCCTCTTGGTGACCCTGGAAATGCTTTCATAGCTAATTGGCAGTGGCAAAGGTATCTCTGAGATTATATATATATATATAGTTGTGACATATCAATGTCTGAAGTCAAAAGCGATGTTTATTTCAGCAAGGAATGTCTAGTTAACTTAACCTACCTTCTTTTGAATATTACCTGAATACAGAGAATAAAATTGATTACACATGAATGAAATTTAACACTTTGATATTCAAGTTAAGAAAACGTAGGAGGAATTGCACTATACACTTTTATTATAGTTATATTTATTTTCTACCTTTAATTTTTATTCTAAATTGATTAGCTTGTGACCCTGGGGTATACGGATGTAATTGTTCTACACCGTGTCCAAATTATACCTATGGTTTTCTTTGCTATGAGACATGTAACTGCACTTCTGACGAATTTTGTGATCGACAATTTGGATGCTTGGGCAACAGTTCCATTTCAACTACAAGTAAATCTCTGTCTTACACGCCTCTCAATACAGGTATGCTACACTGACTCAAAATTCCAAATTACATTATTTAGTTGCTTTTCCTTTTAACACAAATGATCATTGCTGTAATCACGCATTTCAGTATATTCCAAAAGAATGACTGGTGTTAATTCAAACCCTTTCCTGGACAAGTTTACGATGTTTTTATTGATTTCCGTAGTGTCAGTGGTCATTTTCAGCGTCCTCTGTACATTTCTTCTGATAAGGTAAATAAAACTAGGTAAAGAATTTGATAATTATTCAACCACAAATTAAAAAAACAAAACAAATACATTAAATTATTATTTCAGAACAAGTAAAAGGCATTACAAACGAGAATTGCGTAAGTACCTGTAATATTGAGTGACAATAAATAATACACTTTCATTGTGTACATCAACAATGAATATGCTATAAATATGTTACAAATACAAAGGTTTTAAAGAAAACTATTTTAACATTTTATATATATATATATATATATATATATATATATATATATATATATATATATATATATATATATATATATAGAAAGCTTAATGAATTTTTTTTTCCATTTTTTTTTTAAAATACCTATCCGGTGACCTATCTGTATTTAGCGCATTTCAAACTTATGGCCTAAAACGTTAAAATCCCTATTTTGAAGTAGTGTTAGTCAAATATGGTTATTAAAAAACTCCAAGAACTTACAGAAAAATTGAAATAACAAATTTTTGCCAAAATCAATACCATCAAACATACGACTTTTCAATACTGTATACAACCATTCCTTACTGTAATATATTAAAGACCAGATATTTTGATATCATAGACAACTGCTTTTGGAATAAAAATGGAATAATTTTCAAATCTTGTCATGAGTCATGTACAAACTTTGTTAAAAATCATTTTGATTCTAAACGCAAGTACTCTGAATTTCATATTAAAAAGATACCAGCGTACCTCATTGACTATACAGTTATACCTATGTAGTCTTCTTCAATGATCTGCTGGAATTCCGAATGAACTAATTGTGCTCCTTTGTAAACCAAACTGTTTATATATTTTTTTGAAGTAAAAATTATTCAAAAACATTTACATGAGAAGAAAACTTTAGCTCTGACCCTTCTTTCAACATTAAATATATCCAAGTGAACTCGACATAAAAGAAACCACAGATTTTTTTTAAATTGTTTATGTGTTCCAAATGATTGGGTATGTATTTCGCATATTCTGCCAATGATCAATTTTACACCGAGGAAGGTTACTAACTGAAAAGAGAATATACTAGTAATAGGAAATTCAAACAACAATTGAAAATACAACAACTTCAGATAAAAACTGTCAAAGAAAGTCAACAGTCTTTTGTAAATGTAAATATGTATCGTTATAAGTTTATTAGAGATGGAAGTACAATAAAATTCATAAAGTTACCTGATTTACCATCCTGAGGACATCTGTCTTATGCAGGATAGAATGGAGCTCTTTATGGATCAGGAGCACCCGAATCCTCTATATTATGGTATCTCTAATGCATAATAGGATTAGATGGAGGTCATCGGACTGTTCACAGATGCTGTGGAGTGTGGTTCAAGCACATAAAAACAATTTTTATTCAACAAATAACTCACCATTATAATGTCAAGATTGATTTTAAAACAGTTAAATTATGCATACCATCAAAATATTGAAACCTTTTCTATTAAAAAAGAAAACAAAATTAACTGATTTTGTTTCAATGAAATATGAAGATAACGAACAGTATTCAATCTCAAAAGTCCAATCTAATATTCAACGCTATTGGATCTTGTTTGTTGTATTCATTTGAACATGAGTCAATGAATGAAACCGTCAAATTGTGGTAGAAATAGGGAAGACTAGGTGTTTTGATAAATATATATTATCATTACAGTAACTTGATCTGAAGAGCCGTAAGAAAAAAAGTGAATTATACATCTTTAATCCATAAAACAAAAGTTTTTTTCATCGCAAGGAAAAAAACTTCATGCATACTGTTTACTACATCATCAGTTTCAGAGAGGGATGATATGGATTCAGAAAACAACAGTGTGGTGATCCGGAAAGTCGGATCACACCGTCACGTGATTGCGTTAAATTAACAGTAAAAGCGAGTAAAACACAGTTGGGTATAGGATAAAAGATATTAAAACTATAATAAATTAAAGTCGAAAAAGAAATACCGGTAAAAGAAATGAGAACCAAGAAGATAACAAACAGTGATCGAAATAAAAAATTATACAATGAAAAGGGTTCAGATATCCAACAGTGATTGATCTAAAAAATCTACAAACAATACAAATCTGTGAGCAGGGCATAAACGCAGACTCCCAGAAAATGCCAGAGGTGGGATCAGGTGCATAAGAGGGATAAGCATCCCTTGATGACCGGCCACACAGAGTGATTTTTAACAAAGTTGTTTTTATTACCAATCACAAGAAACAAAGATTTCTGATTTTATTTTTTACTGAAGAAACTGCTGTCTTTGACATCATAAAGTCTAGTTATTTTTTGCAAGGAAGGGTTGTATAAAGTGTAGAAAAGTCGTACGTTTTGATTTTATATACTTCAGAAAAAAATGGCGATTTTAAATTTTCTAAAAGTTCTTTAGAGTCTTTGAGAATCCACATAAAATATGAATCTTGATTTACAACACTTCTAGAATATGCTGTAGCACAGTATGTAGTTTTCCTTTACAGCAGTGAATATTTCTGCAAGGAGTAAAGATAGGGCTTTGGTAATGCATGTGCTGGACCCAGCATCAATATCATTGATGATATCATATATCTTTGAGCATGAAGATTCTTCATGTAAGGTCTAGTCATTTTTCAAATAAAAATATAAAAATTCAAAATTGTAAACAAAAACAAATGCAAGTGTGTCTATGTTCCCTAAATATCTCAATACTTTATGGCCATTGGAAGTCTCTGTCTACATTAGATCGACATTGGTATTCTAATGAAAGGTTAATTAAAAAAAACGAAAATAACAAAATTAAATAAAGCGGGATTTGGTTTGTGAAATATGACACCGTAAACCAGTGAGGTAATAGTTGGTATCAGTAATTCTGAGAAACGCAGCATTTATTTAATCATCGCCTAAATTAATAAACGACACAAAGATTCGTTTGAAATATACCAATTTTATAAAGCATACGTTCTAAACGGATAATATATGCAGACAGCTGTGTTGGACATATGTAAAAAGAATTACATAGAATTTGAATAGAACCCTTTGAAATTGTATTATTTTAAGAGGAAATGTACATTACTACTAGTAACTTGTATGAAATGCTGATTGATCCAGTTTTATTTTCAGAACGAATGATAAGTAATATAACTGAAGAGAATTCTGATGCTGAACACGAATACTCCGGCTACTACACAATGGACTCAATGTCTGGCGCGCGATTCTCTTCTGTTTATAATCACACAGAAAGAGGGGAATACAACATTTTGTCTCTTTCACAGAGGGCATATGTTGATGACGCAGATTTCTCTCCCATGACGTCATTTCACCCTCAGAATCGACAACTAAATTCAGAAACAGAGCTGAATGACAATGAAAGCCTGGGCAGTGTTATTGAAGCAGGATGTTTAATAAATCTGTTTCAAGAATGTGAAGATGATCTAATGAATGACGGAACTGAATCAGAAACAATCGCCAAATTATAGTCTCGGTGTTTTTGAGAACTGTCAAGATTAGAAGCACATTTCTGAGGATGATCAAAGTCTAAATCTGGTGATATTGTAAAATTGAAAATGGATGAGACTACAATCACTGTGTACTTCCTCAGACGTAATTAAAATGTTTGCAACAACTTGATAACTGATGCCAATATACATGTAACTGATGCCAATATACATGTACATCTTCCTTGTTCCCGGATAACTATTTAATCAGAATATTTAAAATACACAATTCTATTGTATATTTTTGAATAATAATTAACACTCAATTTTTTATCGTTAGTTCTAATATCTATGTTATGTCAGAAAGCCAGTTAGGTGTTATAATCGTTTTGGTAACCATACCACTATATCATATTTGTATATTATCAACATTTGATACAATGAATACTAGATTGTCTATGATAAGATCGGTTTACATGAACATAATTTATCAATGGATCGATATAAAACGGATATCACATATCTTAAAATAAAGATTTGTTAGATTTAAGGTAGTAGAGAGTTAATTTAAGGAAAAAACCAAACCCAATACATCTTTTGTTTTGGAATCTAAAAGGAAAACTGCTTGATTAAAGTGAACAAAGAAGCTTCTACTTAAATTGTGGAATTTAAGCTTGATGTCTAGTTGGCGATATTGAGAATCCTTTATAACTTTTAAAAACCGTTCTCCAGCACATGGCTTAATTGATAATAATGAACAATTGGCCTTCTATCCGAATAATGAAATCCATGTCCACTGGATTCAGGTTTAAGGTCGGGCAGGGGGTTGGGGGGTTGGATTGAGCTGGTCGTATAATAAAGTTCAATAAAAATTGGACAAATTGTTTGATAACTCCTGGACATTCAAAACACAATCTTAAAAAAAAAGCTGTAGTCATCACGTTTATCACTGACTTTTGCTGCTGGTCTGCCATCAATATCTTTCTCTAGTAAAATATACAAATACGAAACAGATGTATCAGACTCTGTGGTGTTTTTTTTTTTTTTGAGTTTTCCCTCCTACAAATTGTGCAATTTATATCCAATGGTCCGACTCAGGTTCCAAAATGTTGATAAGCTGATTATATTTTGAAAAATTCCTTCACTTTTGAAAGAGCTAGGTTCACTTTATGCAAAAAATGGCCCTGTCCTTATATCAATTAATAGACTATCACCCTCTGTCCTATTTCATAAATCAAAATAAAGTAGAGACTTAGTGCTTTCATTTCCTAAAACAAAATTTGTTTTTGAGAATCCAGGTATTGGAAAACAGGCTTTGAGAAAATGCAATGTTCTTGAATTTTGCAGAAAACATACGTATTTGACTACCTTCAACAAAGAAATAAAATATGAGCATAGCTCACGATCCAAAAATTAAAATACGTTTTTTGATCTTCAGAAACAGATCTTTCATTATGTAATTGCGTATTTTGGATCAGATGTTGTGCTCTATATGAAATATTGAAAAAAAAAACCCTCAACTTTTGGCCATTTTTAATGGAATTTACAGGATATGGGGAAAATTACGCATTTTATGACGTCATAATGCATTGACTAGAGAGAAAATTATGTCTATTGTGTCTATTAAACCTGATAAAAATTGTGAAAATATTGTTTCAAGTGTTCAGACACAAGGATTAGGATAACTAAGAAAAATTTTTCATGTGCTGAAACAAAATTTACTATAAAAATCCTATCAGCAGTGAATATTATGGATGTTTTAAAAGTTTTAGAGCATCTGTGGGATGTTTTGCTAGATATAGAGGATTTATCTATGAACCTGGGCGGGCTGAAAATCATTTCAGTCTGTACGTTTTTACCTCAGGCCAACTTGAGGGAAGACCAAATTGATAGTAGGAAGAATAAAATAGCCTTAGAGAGTGTGTGTTTTTGCTCTTTTTACATTATATTATGGATGATAAAACGTGTTTTGTGATTGTGATTAAAAAGAAAATTGATTGTACAAGTTTATTGAACTTTGAATAATATGTTATGGTAAAGCTTGTGTCAGAAATCCCTGAGTTTGAATTAAAAAATATTAATGAGAAGTTGGAAGATTTTTCTGTTTAAAAAAATGATGATAGTGGCTGGGTGTTTTTGTGCCTTTTAGAAATGTTCTCTCTTGTGAGGGGATGCTGCACTAGTGGTCGTTCTTTTTTATATCATATTTCAATCCTCTGTAATAAAGAAAAATAATTTATATCATATGTTTGTTCAACACACTCTAACTGATGTCAAAATTTCATAAATGTTATGGATTCTGTGGAAGATTACGCCAGGCGATGGGCCAGACATGATAAAGAAGACCTTGACACGTTGTCAGAATGGATTAAATATATCAGATGTATGTTGAAATCTCGCATTAAGCGATTGAGGGGCCAAATGAGAAGCAACTATCCTTCTGTGTTCAATAATTCAGAAGTGAAAAGGAATTAAAATAGATTACACGATCAGTATGTACTGGTCCCTGCTGACAAAGCAGGTAACAACATTGTCTTTGTTTGCAAGGCTCATTATTTAAATTGTATTTTAGAGGAACTGGGATTTAATTCAATGTGGTAATCCGACTTATACCCATATCTCCCTTTCTAAGGAGGAAATTCTTCAAAATCATATGTCAGTTTTGAATATTTTTAATATTCTCAAAAACTAACATGAATCTGAATTAACATATCTATATTGGATTCAACTTCATAAAAGTCCTCACAAACAAAGATGCATAGCGGGTTCCAGTAAACGTTCTACCAAACCTCTTTCTTTACTCCTCACTAAGATATTAACAGTAGTGAAGGAGAAACTTCAAGAGTACAGTGCAACAAATATATTTGAGAAGTGGTGTAAATCAGATGTGGATACTAAAAAATTCCAAGGAACTTTTGGAACATTTGAAATCACAAAATTTTACCAAAATCAACAACATAAAAACTTACGACTTTTCAACTTTATATACAACCATTCTCCACGATATATTAAAGTCCAGGCTTTTTGATATCATTGACAGCTGCTTTTTCAATAAAACTGGAACTAGTAAATTTACTTACCTTGCCATTGGTCATTTGCAAAATTATTTTGTAAAAAACATTCTGATTGTACACACAGGTACTCTGAAGTTGATATTAAGAAGATGCTTGAGTTTCTGATTGACAATATCTATGTGTTTTTTGGAGACCAGGTCTTCCAACAATCTATTGGAATTCCCTTGGGTACCAATTGCGCCCCGTTATTAGCAAACCTATTCTTGTATTCATGTGAAACAGAATTTGTTCAAAATCTTTTAAGTGAAAAGAAGAAAACACTTGCTGTGGCCTTCAACTCGACATTTAGATATATGGACGACGTACTGTCAATTAGTCAATTAACAAAGGTTATTTCCATTCGTATGTCGATACGATATATCCCAGTGAGCTTGAAATAAAACATATCACAGAGTCTGACACATCTGTTCCATATTTGGATATTTAACTAGAAAAAGACGTTAAATAATGGTCATCTAACAACCAAGTTTTATGATAAACGCGATGACTTTAACTTTTTCAATCGTCAACTTCCCTTACTTATGCAGCGATATACCTTCATCACCTGTATATGGGGTTTATATCTCTCAGTTGATTCGATACGCAAGAGCATGCTCTAAGTATGAACAATTTCTAAAATGAGGTAAGTTATTGACAAACAAGTTGATGAAACAAGAATATCAGCTGTCTCGTTTAAAGTCGTCATTTCGTAAGTTCTACGGTCGATACAATGACCTTGTCAGCAAATACAATTTATCATTAAGTCAAATGCTGACTGACGTTTTTCATACTGAATGTTAGGCCATTATTTACACACTGAATTGTCAACGGATTTTTTCCGTTATTACCCGATCATGACAAGGAGCGTATGGAGAGTGTGACCGGTCGGAAGGGGATGCTCACTCCTCCATGGCACCTGATCCCACCTCTGATGTTTTAGAGGTCCGTGTTTGCTCTGTTTAAAATTTGTATTGTTTAATGGACTTTTGGGCTTAAATACTGTTCGTTATCTCCATACATTTCATCTAATTTATTCTTTCATTCACTTATTCAAGAAAAGAGAAACATTTATATTAACGGAAAGGAAAAACATAAATGTACAGTGATATTTCGAGTATTATTTATCTTCAGTGGATACATATTTATAGCATATTTATAGTCTATATATGCATTATTCTGCTTATTGCCGTCAGTAAAGGGTAAAGTTATCATAAAGTTAAATTTGTAGAAAATGACTTTTTAAAAGACATCCATGGAAAATAATGTTATTTTAATTAATTTCTTCCCAGTTTTATGTGCTTTCTCACTATATTACTCTGTGCTTGATTAAAAAAAACTACATTGATATTATCGATTTATATCATACTTCCTGTAATATTTAAATTTCTTGATATTTAGTTCTATTTTTAGACATCATTATATCGTGAAAGGGAAAAGGAAATTCATGGAAAAAAAATGGCAAAGTAATGGATTAAATTACATGCATTCATGCATACATTAAATGAAAAGGGAAAAATGAAATAGTGAAGAGCAATTTAACGAAATTAAATGAAATTCTAGTCGTAATAGATTCAAACTTTGCCTTTTCATTTCACCAAATACATCGAAGTGTGCATGTGATGGTTTTTTATATAGACGTTATAATTATACTGATTACAACAGTGTATAACAGCGATGGAGGATGCCATGTTAATAACTGGTACGTTAACATACATTTTTCTCCAATTATGATTATTAAATTAATGCTGTTATATTCTCAACCCTGTTATTTTGAACATACTCTCCTTAATATGACTTTTTGAAGCTGTATCATGATTTGACTATAAATATTCATATCCAATTAATCTTTTTATAGGTAAACATTTGATTAAGGGATAATTAAAATTGTCCGAAATTCCTCTTACTTATCTTTTCTTTGTTATTTTGGCGTTAATCAACATTATTTAGAAGATTTTGCGTTGTAATAAAAATAAAACATTATTACAAGCTGTGAAATTGGGAATAATTACTAAACATTGCCCTCTACCGAGTCCTCAACCAACTTTCCCTCTTTCTGTAGTACTGCAATATTCACTCACCTACATATATCTTTATGTCTCCAAAATGAGCATGTTCCGAGTACTGTTTTTAGCTCTGCTGGTCAGAAACCAGAAGAGATTATGCGCTTGAAAGGTGACCTCCGTCTGTTTAGCTGTCTGCCCATCTGTCCGTCTGTTAACAATTTTTCAAAATGCTACTCCTCCTACAGTTTTGGTCTGATTTCAATATAACTTTGCACACCAGTAGACTACACTAAGGATCATACTCTGTGTATCGGACTATCGGTTTTTGATTTGGATGAACAGTTTTGGTCTGATTTCCATGTAACTTGGCAAACAAGTACGCTACACTAAGGTACATAATTCTATGTATCGGTCAGGGATGGGGTAATTGAAATGAGTAATTGTAATTTACTGTATTTAAATACATTTTTTCAAAGTAATTGAAAGTATTTGTAATTGAGTTTGCTTTCAATTACAAGTATTGAATGTGTTTCAATTCATTCCAAAAATGTCATGTATTTTTCAATTACATTTCAAATACAGTTCAATTACTTTATTTTTCAAGTTACGTATTAAAAAAGGGTGTTTTATCATGATGCATATCAGTACTGTTTGGCATGAGTTTGTGTTTATTCAATAGCTAAATGCCTTATAATGTTTATATAGCATAAACAAACTGCCCAGGACAATAAGAAAGGTCAAATTTAAAAATATTGCTGCTTCAAAATATTCATGTATTTGTTCTTCAAAATTTTTGAAATAAAACTTAAGTAATTGATATGTATTTAATTACATTCTTCAAAGTAATTTAGAGTAATTAATTACATTTGTGAAAATCAATGCAATTGTAATTGCAAGTAGTTGACAAAATTATCAATGTATTTGAAAGTATTTAATTACATTTCAAAGTAATTGACCCCAACCCTGGTATCGGTTTTTGATTTAGGTGAACGGTGTTGCCAGAGTCACTAAAAATAGAAATTTTTGTGAAATACTTATAAAATGTTACTCCTCCTACAGTTTTTTTTTCTGATTTCAGTACATCTAACATACATATTTAGACTACACTAAGATATATGATTCTGTCTTTCGGTTTTTGATTTTGATGAACAGTGTTGCTATGAATCCTAAAAATAGATATTTCTGTGATATATTTTCAAAATGCTACTACTACAGATTGGTCTGATTTCAATATTACTCAGTATACAAGAAGACAGCACTAAGGCACATACATGTATACTGTGTATACATTTTTGATTTGGATGGACGCTGTTGCCATGAATCCTAAAAATAGATATTTCTGTGAAATACTTTCAAAGTGCTACTCCTTCCACAGTTTTGTCTGATTTCAAAATAAATTGGGACACACGTAGACTACACTGAGATACATAATTGCATATATCGGTTTTTGATTTTGATGAATGATGTTGTCATGGTTACTAAAATCAAAATTTTTGTAAAATTCTTAAAAAATATTACCCCTCTTGCAGTTTTAGTCTGATTGCAATAAATCCTGCCAAAAAAAAGACTAAACCAAGAGTCATTATTCTATTTATTGCTGTTGCAAAGTTTCAAGTCCCAGTGCTATTTTTCTATTCCTTTGTTATAAGTCCAAACCAGAAGAGCTTTAGTCTTGTCAAAGACTTCTTTTTTTAAATTGATGGAAGCTACTGATAAATAAGTTAATGTTGCAGTGTTTTTACATTCTCTATTCGATAACATTTTGCAAATTCAATGGTCGAGTTTGATCAGTATCCTTTTACACCTATGTGTTTTTTCATGACAATAATTGTTTTTATTTTACTTTTTAGGCCGCACTCATGTGAGGCCAACTTTAGGATAGGGCCAGAAAAGTGTGAACGTGAGTAAATTCGAGCAATAAAAAGGAAAATTGTAAACAAAACAGTACGATCAAGAAAGTTTTAAAGAAAGAATGAATTTCTATTTAAATGTTTAAGGAATTTTATGAAGTTAAATAAGATAAACTAAAATTCTTCCTTCAGCATGCGAGTCTGGTAGATATGGTTGTAATTGTTCTCAAGTCTGTACCACCGGTACCTTTGGATTGAACTGCTACTTTACGTGTAACTGCTCTGATGATGAAAGCTGTGATCCTTCACTAGGATGTATAAAAATCAACAACACTACAGTATTTACAACACCTAGGACTAACAGCACCAAAGGTTTAGCTGTTTGTATTAAATGATGAGAATATGTTTGGTGATGATGTGTGTTCACGCTTATGTGCAGCGATCGACTTCTATACTATATCTGTAATTCTTTAAGCAAAATTCATATTTTAGCCCTTTCATCTGGGCGCTATTTCATGAATGCAGTCAAAATATGACCTCATGGAAGTGTACTGCCTACAAAGACTGATAGCTCCTGACCTTTTTAATACGCTGATATAACTTCACATATACACATATAATTGTACTTTACATCATACTTGGAGGGTTCGACTCCACTGTGTGACGCGGAGACCAGTCCTTCGGATGAGACCATATAAACCGAGGTCCCATGTCGCAGTAGGTGCTGGCACGAAAAAGAACCCTCACTGCTCAATGGCCGTAAAAGCCGGAATCAGGTCTAAATTTGCAGCCCTCCACCGTCAAGTGGTGGCATCTCCATATGAGTGAAAAATTCTCGATAGGGACGTTAAACAAACGAATCATACTTACAAATGTTCATTCTTTAATGTAATAAGATTTATAAAAGGGATAAACAAGAATATTTCCCCGATGTTAGAGTTTTGAACATTTAGAGAATGTATTTCGGGGGGGGGGGGGGGGAGTTAAAAAATAATATTAGAATGTATTGTCGAGAACATAATTCCATGGTTTTTGAATCAACCATTGTTAATTTATTAATATTTTATTAAACTGTGTTAAAAGTAGTGACTAAAGTGTAGGTTCATAAAGAAAAAAGATTTAATAAGATAAGAGAGATGAATCATTGAACCGTGACATAGTATTATCATAATATAATTAAAACAATTAAGTTGTGAACAACCTGTATTTCCAATGTACATTTGATTATGAAATCAGTTTTATCAATTCTTATATGTAATTGCTATGATCCCTCTTTGGTAAAAATGCAAAAAAATCTTATTTTTATTATTATTTAGCAAATTATTGTACGCAAAACTCAATACATTTAACTATGTACAAAAGATCGAAAGACTATGGCAAGTAAGTTAAATTTTGTCTCTGTCCATTTGTGCCTGTCTGCAATGTTTCGTTTAGAATACAATTGTATATACTATTATTTAAACAAGGTCAAGATCAGAGGGACTGGAAGTGCAGAATTGATCTTGAAACTTAGAGGCTCACGTGTACTTGTAACTTGATTCTAATCCAAGCTTTAAGATCTTTTTAAGAAGATCACGATTTCAGAAGTAGAGAGAGAAAAAATATTCCATTCAATGTCTTCATAAATGAATAAATAAAAAAAAAAAAGAATAACTAACTAACTAAATAACTAAATAAATAAATAAATAAAAGGTCAGATTGACTGAAAGGTTGTTTATGTCCGTAGAGTTTGTCGTGTTTATTGTATTTGGACAATATAAATGTTATTGGAATGAAGAATTAGTGTCTAGTCAATGATCAAAACAAAAGATGTTAATCACTGATTCAAAATCTTTTGATAACTGACGAAAGTTACATGACTCTGATCAAAAGGTTTCAGGAATTAAACTTGGAAACGTATAAGATTGTTATCTTTTTAATTTTGTTGATCTATATTTAATACGAATTAATAGGCCTTTGTTGTTTTGCAAAATTTGACCATCTACCTGATCAATATACAGAGCTCTACGGTCGTTGTAACTACCTTGTTTGCAAATAGAACCTATCTTTGGGTCAAATTTTGTCTAACATGTTTCGTACTTATTGTTAGGCCATTATTTTTACACTAAACTTGAATACGGATGAATCCGTCTGGCTGATCAATATTATACACAGGGCTCACAACGGGGGTGACCGCTGTCCGACAGGGCGACAGGGGATGCTACTTACTGGGTCTCTGTTTTAGCCCTATTCACAGATGTTTATCGTTTGTAGATTTTTTACTTAAGATCGCTCATTGTTTGTTATCTTCATCTACGACTATAAGGTCTACATGAGGATATGGACAAATTTGTCCACATCATAGCTCGGCCAAGATATGGGGCATTTGTGTTTCATATATATGCATATCTAAAAATCTATGAACAGTTTTCATTGAAAATTTCAAATTTATATTTAAATTTGATGCTTTCTTGCCCTCCAGAAAATATGTCAGCGCAATCTACCTTCCATTCAGAAATTTATTCTACAAGTTTTCCACCAGTACAGTTGGGCAACAACTTGCAACTGAACGAAGTAATAATATCTCTGCTGGTTTCCTCAGCAACAGTAGTTTTCTTCAGCGTAGTGTGTGCTCTTGTTCTGATAAGGTATTTGTCAAACCCTTATCTCCAGTAAACATTGATTTTCTGAGTCTTAAAGATTGTTTTCAATTATATGTAACAATACAAGACGACATTTTTCTCCAGAATAATCAAAAGGATTTACAAACGTGAATATAGTAAGTAGATGTTATGTAAATTAATAAGATTAAATAATTCCTCTTAACTGTATGATTTGATTCTGAATTATGTATTAACTTAAGCAGATACTTTTTAATTTTTTTTAAAAGAAAATTTTGATGTTATTCGCTGACCTTTGTTTTTCAGGAAGACTTTTAAACAATTTGCAGTTGACTGACATGAGGAATGGGGATGAAAATGTATATAGTGAGTACAACTATACGGATTCTAGTATGTTAAACATGAGAATTTACCCATCTTCCAATGGAGATGATTTTTATGACCATTCTATGAAGGAAAACTATAACATTCTATCACTCAGAAGCAGGACATCAAGAGTTAATAATTATGACGTAGAAAGTAATTCTACGTCACCATCCCAGCCATTGCAATCTTCTGATGAAAGTAGGTCAGACCTGGTGTTTGAACCAGAATGTTTGATAAATTTATTTCAAGAGAATCAAGCTCAACAGTCAGATACCAGGTGCGATGAGGAAATAAATACATTGATTCGTGAAGCGAACGGGACAAATTTCAAACAAACAGCTAGTGATTTGATGTTAGAGAGAAACGGTGTAGAAAATCAGTTGGTGATGGACTATAGTGCACCAAATCCCGACAAACAGGAAGTCAGATCGTAGGCTCAATCTTGATCGGATATAAAATACTTATTTAAAAACTCAAATAAGCGTGCATTTTTATAATAATATGCATTAAATTAGAGAGCCAAAACTGCATGACAGTCTCGTTGAAGTGTTTTTAATAAATAATTTCCCAACAATTTTATGGAAATGACTTTTTAATGTTATGTATACTATTCTCAATTGATGACTAAAGAATGAATTTAATTTCTTATTTCATTACATAATCCTCACAAAACTCCTGAATCTCCTGATCTGATAAAGTGATCGTACACATTATTTTGACTAAAATTGGAGATATGATGGAACATACATGTACCTCAACATTGTCTGATCTGATGTCATGATGTCAGACAGTACTAGACTTAGTCAAGGCTTGTGGCAAGAAATAGCGCTTTAAAATAAATTTATCTTAATTTATATCATTACTGACGCATCATCCAGTACAGATTGCATAACACTGATCTTTTCTATCTAGAATGCATCATTTTCCATGGTAATATATATCATGTCCAGCAAAAGAGCAGGGATGAAGCTGGTTAGGTCAACACTTCTCGATTGTCCTTATCAGATTCACTCATATCTCTGCCATCAAAGCTTAACTATAACAAGTATAATACAGTAAAAGCAAAAAGAAAGTGAAATGTAGACATACATTCATTTGTTAAATTATTTAGCTAACTTACATGATTTATTGTATAACATGTTCATTTTATAAATCTTGATAATGAGAAAGAACATTTTTATCCTTTCATTTATGCTCAAATCAACATTTGCTGTTTCATTTTTATTTCAAAAGTATCGATATTTCAATGTCCAAAAAAAAAAAAAAAAAAAAAAAACAAAAAAAAAAAAAAAAACAACAAACAAACAAACAAACAAAACAAAACAAAAATAAAACAAAAAATATATATTTCTGGTCTTATATCTATGTTGATCCTGCTAAATTTAACTTTTCTTAATTCTTGACATTGGAAAATCAGTCCACGTCAACTTTTTTCTAATAAACTAATACTATACCAGGGTTGCCCGTTAGAATTGAAATAGCAAGGAGGCATTAAAAAGTATAAGGGGTTTGGGGTTCCTCCCCGAACAGGGGGTTGAGGGCGGATAGCAGAATAACTTGCGAATCACGTTATTATAGGCGGGGAAATTCCCCGGGTCTCAGGGACATTCCTGTATGCTAATAATATTGCTAGACATTATTATCCTTGTTCTTTTTTTCTGATTATTAATTATTGTAATGTCTAGAACTCGAAAAGTATGCTTGAAGGACCAATTTAAGCATTCAACTGCAGATGGTGCAATTCATACAGTATATATAATTCTGAATACACATTACTTTTTTTTAATTTTTGTTATCTCTTCAATCCATTATCATACAAATTCATTTCACGAAAAAATACCTAATATTTACTAAAACATTCTTTATATCATACTTTATGTTTTTTTGTATAAAACAATTCATTTTCCACCTTCATGTCATGCAAATTATTTGCAATACTAAATATGATATACATTTAATTGTTTCCGTGCGACAATATATAACTGATATATTCTCATTGATTTTGGCTTGATTTATTAAGGCGGAAATATTAATTGGTCTGGTTCAAAATTCAGTTTTACATTCATAAACTGAAACCAAGATCCGGAAAAGCTAATCTATTGTGTAGAGATAGAAATATTTTCTCAAAGTATACAGCTGTGAGTCTTTACCGGAGATGGTCACTTATATCTTAACCACAGTCCTTGTCAAACTGATGCAGTCTGCAGATGGAGGTTGTCATGTCAACAATTGGTAAGTTTCAATCATTGTGTCCTTCGAACAAAATACTCCAGAAAGAGTTAGTAGGTTTTGGAAAAGGAAATTACATTAGTTTTGAAAAAAATGAGAATATTCATTCCTCATTGGGTAAAAAAAAATCGTAAGTTTTATTTTGAAATTTTTCATAAACAAATGCTTCCTATTTATCCAGTATTTTATAAACTAATTTTTACTTATGAATTCAGGCCACATTCGTGTGAAGCCAACTTCAGGATTGGACCTGAGAAATGCGAACGTAAGTTGTCATTTTCCTTGTTGGAAAATCACACTGCATATTGCAAAATTTGTAATATAAGATATCAGGATGATTCAAATTCTTATGAGAAGCATACATTAAATAGATATTGTTGGAATTTATGCTGTATATATATCTTCAAAATCTCCATGACCGTTTCAGCATGTGAGCCTGGTAGATATGGCTGTAATTGTTCTCAAGTCTGTACAACCGGTACCTTTGGTTTGAACTGCTACTTTACGTGTAACTGCTCTGATGATGAAAGCTGTGATCCTACACTAGGGTGTATAAAAATCAACAACACCTCAGTATTTACAACAGCTAACAGTACTACAGGTCTGTCTGTTTCGTCCTACGTCAATATACTATCAATGTACTACGTCAATATACTATCAATGTACTACGTCAATATACTATCAATGTACTACGTCAATATACTATCAATGTACTACGTCAATATACTATCAATGTACTACGTCAATATACTATCAATGTACTACGTCAATATATGCTAAAATTTATGTAAAGTAAAGCTTATGAGATGAATTTCGCCTCAACCAAAGAACTGGTTTTGATAATAATTCGATAAATTTATACTCTGTGTTTTGAAAGGAAGGAAACTACTTTGGCTTACGCTGATAGTTTTAAACTTTCTACTGTTTGAAATATAAGATAATTTTGTGATCATGAAAATCACATCAAAGTGATTAATTTTCCCACCACTGAAATTTCCAGTGGTCCGTGTTTTATGTCCTCTTCACATATTTGTATTGTTTTTATGGATTTTTTGAGATCGTTCACTTTTCGTTATCTTTACCTTTTACATGTCTAATTTGATTTACATTTGATTAATTTATTTACCCACTTAGATACCCCTGAGGCAACACCAAAGTTTCATTTATTCACTCCAAACTCAACCCCGACCTTAAGGATACAGGAGGAACCTTTATCATTTCTAAGCACGGTCATCATTATTCTAGTCACATCATTAGTGCTAGTGGTTGCTATTAGTATTTCCTCCATCTGCTTTATAATAAAGTAATCATTTATTTCTAAATATAACTAAGACTTCTATGGACAGAAATATGTGCATATATTTTTTTTAATTTAAGCCTTTCCTGACTTTTCAGTGTGTTATTTTAATGATTCGTGAAGCTTATAAAACAGCCAAAACACTAACAAAGTGATAAATGTATTTTGTTTCTATGCGTCTTTTTGTCAAAATTCTGGTAGGTAGAAGATGGTAATTGTGCTCTAAGTTAATTGCAGTACAATGTGTTGACACACCAGCCTTTCTTGTGACTTAGAAAAAATGGGAAGATATAGCTTTTTTATAAGACTTTTTAAAACAATTTTTTTCTCCATAGACGGACCTCAAAAACAGCCTTAAAAGTAGTAACTGGTGAGTATTCTATCAAAACATTTATTGTTATGTCTTACAGAGTAAATTTAAATGAAATTTAAAACTTAAAAAGAAAAAAAAAAACAAAAAAACGGGAGACCCAAAATTCCTTCAATTTGATTTATTAGGACAATTTCCTGTTATCTAGGCACAAAGAGTGTTGAAAATGCATCGGGGCCTGCGGAAGAAAATCAAGATTCTCATTCCTACCTGACGATCAGTGATAGGTCCTTTCGACTGTATGCAGATGTACACTATGATGAGGCCGCAGAAAGGAAAAGCTCCCCTTCAGAATCATTAAATAACAAGGCAGACAACTCAAGTAGCATCACTGACAGTAGTAAAAAATCTGATGATTATTTAATCCCGACTGGAAAAATTGAGGACGAAAATCAATATAGTGGTCAATTATCTGATCAGGATAATGTTAAACATGAATTAGTGGAGACGTGTATTTGACGATCCATGACTTATAAGCGAACAATTTTTTTTAACAAGCTTTTAAATAAAATACAATAGTTCAATTTAACACAATTAGATTTTATTTTAAAGAAAAAAAAGAGACAGTAAAAATATAAAACTAACAATCCAGTATATCTCCTCACGGAAAACTGATTATGTAGAAGAATTTCATCTTTTTTTCCTTTAAATCACTTTTTATTCCCGAGAACATTATAAATTTTGAGTAGTGACGTTCGACCGTCTGCTCACAAACATTTCATATTTTTGTAGATTATAGGAAAGAATGACCAAATACCTGATTTATTTTCTCGAATAAGAATATCAAATAACTACATGTATCTTGTGAAAATAAGGTGTCGCCAAAAACAAAACGATTAAGAGTAGCCTACAAACTTTATGTTTGTATTGTTTTTATTAGTTAAATATTGTTGACCATGAAATTCACAATTTTGGAAGAGGAACGAACACTTGCTCAGGAGCCAAGAAGATTTTTAAAGAATTAATGTATTTTCACTTTATTATCAATAGAGCCCTGATCTAGTACCAGAGGCCTCAGACCTAGGGGCGGAGAAATTCACAATTTTGGAAAGAAAAGGCACCCATGCTCATCATAACAATGCACTAATTAAATGCTAAATACCCAGGGACAGAGAAGACTTTGAAAGAAATAATGCAATTCCCCGTTATATTCAACAGGGCCGTCCCTAACATAAAATCCCTGAACCAGGAGCTATAAATTTCATAATTTTGAAAGAGGCATCATGCAATAAGTTTGTCTTCTAAATACGAAAGAAGAGAGAAGAAATTTAAAGAATTTATGCATTTTCTATCGTTTTATCGTATTTCGACTACTTTTGCGATAGTATATTTATTTATTTATTTTATATTCCAATTTTGGCAACGTATTGCTCCGTTTTCCTGGCTCATGGTGGGTGTATCCAGTACTGGATGCTTCCTCTCTCCTCCTAGCACTTGATCCCATCTTTGTATTTTTCCCAGAGATCCCTGATTTTACCCTGTGTACGATTTGCATAATGTACAGGAGATTGATTAGTGTTCCTTATCTTAACCTTTTACATTGATATTAATTTGAAAATGAAGGCCGAGGCTACAAGTCTAAAACATAAATCCTGTATACTAAAGGTAGTCATGCAACACCGAAAAATAAAGAAGTGGCGCAATATTTATACAAATAAGATTCTTTATACGAATGACAAGCGCCTGAGTAACTTCAATTACTTTGTACCTCTTTATTCTTACAAAACTTTATATTAAAAGCAAAATGAGTTTCTGTGAAAGCACCAATGAATATATTAGAAACCTATATTTTAATATGGAAATGTGAAAGGTATATGACGCCATTTGAATATCGTTATGAAACATACAACTTACAATAATGTATTGTTTAAGGATTCTTCTTGGAAGCAAATTCAAAAAACATCTTAAAATGCAATAATTTTAAATTTAGCATCAAATTTTAAAGACTTTTATTTAAAGATGGCATGTAGAACACAAAAAAATTATAAAGAAAGGTTAATGGAAGAACAATTTATCAAAAATTCTTTAACTAGTGCAATGGATTTCAAAGGAAATCCTCTCTAAAAACAAGTTAAATGTCTCACAAATGAGTTTTAATATTGCATATGTTTTGTCTTGCTGGGTATCCATGAACCACGAATAATTGGACGATGTTAATTGGAACTGTTTTGATTTTGTTTGATTGTTTGTTTAACGTCCTTTCGAGATTTTTCACTCCTATTGAGACTACACGACTTACCGTTGGAGGACTACAAATTTAGATGTGTACTTGGTACTAACGGCCTTTGAGCAGTGAGGGATCTTTTATATGGTCTTATTCGAAGGACAAGTCTCAACGTTAAGCAGTGGGATTCAAACCCGCAACGTAAGGATCAACTCCTTACTCAACAACTCTAGAGCAAAAGCTCTTATTACTGCGACGTTTAGAATTCGAAATAAAAAATTTAAAAAAAACTCTTTAGGCAATTAAATAAATGCATTTCATAATGAAAAAAGTGAAGATAACGAGCAGGGATCGTTCTCAAAATATCTACAAACAATACATACATGTGAACAGGGCATAAAAGATAAATTACAGAAAGTGTTGTTAGACTCTTGTTTTGAAGCTTTAAAAGTTATTAAAATACAACAGCGTTATCTTTATCAATGAATTAGTTCTTAGGAATTCAGAAAATACATTTTTATGCTTAATAATTAATTTATCATATACATGTAGATGGACATGATCAGTATCAGAGAGTAATTTAGCGACAGGGGAAAATTTGACTTGTAAAACTTGTAAAACTTGTAAAACTTTAAACATCTATGGAACTGAATGTACTCCATGCGGACTGATTTATATTGGGGAAACAAAAGTTCACGTAATAAGAGAATGTCGGGGTATAGGTTTGAAATAAGTAATGAGAGCCATCAACATCTTAATAAACATTTCGCCCGACCACTCTATCCCCTCAATGAGGGTTAGGGTTTGGGGGAAAAATATCATCTAACTATTAGTCCCCCTTTAAGTATTCCATTCCGTAGACAACGAGAAGATTACATCTTTAACAAAAAAACACGGAAAAGAATATACTGGTAATATGCAACAGTGGACAGAAAATTAAAAAAAACACAGTGCTTAAATGTAAAAGGTGAAAATAACGAACAATGATCAATCTCAAAAATCCAGTTAATAAAACGTACCGTGAACAGGACAAATCGCGGAACCCTGGAAACACCAGAGGAGGAATGGAAACTTTAAGAAGCTTATGCGTGCTAAATGTAGGGTGCATCCTGTTGTATGTGTGTGATTTTTTTAATATTGTTTTTCTGTAAACGAATTATTGTAAGATAAAAAAGACTCAAAGCGGATGCTACTTGTCAACAGGAGACTTACTCCTCCTAGGCACCTGATTCCACCTCTGGAATTTCCAGGGTCCGTGTTTTATGCCCTGTTCACATATTTGTATTGTTTGCATTGACTTTTTTTATCGATTACTTTCGTTATCTTCACATTTGTCAGTCTTGTAAAGAGCATAATATTCGCTATATCTTTATTGTTTAATGCGAGACGATGATTAAAGTATTTGACATATTTCAAGTCGGTCTCAGTCTTCTTCATCTGTAACTAGGAACTTGCTATTTTCAATCGCATTGGTTAGCATAAAGATTATAAATCACGGAGGAATTATGCTGGGAAACAGAAATATCTATTACAATTTTTTAATTAAGAAACAAATGTTGTTTTGATTTGACATCACTTAGTACAGGAAAACATATCTTGCTATAATATATATCAGGGAGAAAACGTGTGCCAAAAATACTGAAAGAGGAATATATAGGGAAGAAGTCTATTGTAGTCACAGCTGTTGGATTCATCTTTCGAGAATGTGATTTTTATTTGTATTACACAATCTTTCTTCCTTAAATTTGTTTTTGGAAAGTTGTGTTTTTATATGGTAAAACAATGAAATCAAAGTAAATTGTACAGAATATCGTGATTTCGAGATCTTTTTTTTGAAAGAGAGGATCTAAATGCAAAATGATTTTCCATTAAATTTTAAATAGAAATGAAGTTTAAACGTTGCAGTTGCGTTGATTTATTTTTCAATACAGGGGAATCCATATTGAAAAAATATTTCGTTATATGTATAACACATTATTGTATTTTTCAAGCTTTTCCGAATTACAATAAAACAATTATAAATCGTGACAAAGCAGAATTTGATAATGTTCTTTTGAAATAATATATTTTAAAGGTTCACGTACAATGAAATATGGAGATAATGAACAGTAATCAAGTTCAAAAGTCCATTGAAACAATACAAATAGGGAGCAGAGCAACAAAACTTAATGATAAACGTGATGACTTCAACTTTTCTATCGTTAATTTCCCTTACTTATGTAGCAATAAATCCTTTTCACTTGCATGTCGGGTTTATATCTCCTGATTCATTCAATACGCAAGAGCATGCTTCACTTACAAACAATTTCTAAAAGGAGGCAAGCTCTTGACAAACAAGTTGATAAAACAAGGATATGAATAGTTTCATTTAAAGTCATCATTTTGCAAGTTCTATGGTCAATACAATGACTTCGTCAGCAAATACAATTTATCATTACATGTAAGTAGAATGCTGACGGGCGTTTTTCAAACTAATTGTTAGGCCATTACTTAACCATTGAAATGTCTACAGATTTTTTCCGTTTGTCTGATCACGACAATGAGCACACGGGGGTGTGACCGGTCGAAAGGGGATGCTTACTCCTCAATGGCACCTGATCCCACCTCTGATGTTTTAGAGGTCCGTGTTTACCCTGTTCCCGATTTGTATCGTTTCAATGGACTTTTGAGCTTGATCACTGCTGATACCTCCACCTTTCAATATGTTAAATTGTAATTTTAATAATTTTGTTATTAATTTTAAACAAAAAAAAAATACAAGTGATTTTTTGCTTATATTCTTTCTTCTTTTTAAAGATAAAAGTTTTAGGCAAGAGTTAATTTATATAGTGTTGATATAAAAGCAAATGAAATGTCTCTTTTTTTATTTTAAACAAAAAATAAGCTTAAAAACTCGGAACACTTCATTTCTTGAAAACAGATGGATAACATTCCATGGTAATCTACAATTAAATGTGCCTAAATATGTAAACAAAGTAAAATACAGAATTTGAAAATATATGTATTAATGGAAAATTTCGGATGCATTAAAAATTTTTGAATTAAAAGATTCTTATGGAAGAGTTTTTTCTACGAGTTCAAATACCTTAGGTGCTTTTTCAGAAATTATGAGCATTTTTTTTTCTTAAAAAAAATTCGCACTTTTGTTCAGTGATAGTTTTCATTGAAGTGTTCTGAAAATAATACATGAACAATCGCTATCCAAGATGTGTTTCATTCAGAGCAATTGCAATCAGCGTTCTAAAAGTTTTGGGGCTATATGTAATCAAACAGTTACTTCTTGAATGAAATAAGA